TCATCATCATCATCGTCATGACGCTCATCCTGATCCTCGTCCCCATCCACAATCATTACATGTCATCATCCTCTCACCACGTCGCCTCTTTCGTTGTAGCCTTCTGCATGCCTGCCTCCTTAGCCAAATCACGGCCGTACAGAGAGTGGCCATAGTAATTGCAATACTGAAAGTCGGCATCGCGGCCCGTTTGGTCGTTTGTGGGGTCCATTCCAAGCGGCCTTTAGGACTCTTTGTGTCCTTCTGTGCTTGGTTGGTGAGACAGTTGGGTACAGTTGAAGCCGCTCGTGCCGTTGCCGCCTCAAGCGCGACACCTGCCTGCCCTTGTGAAGCGGGGCCGAACTACTGAGAAAGGGTCTAGGGACACCGGTTCGGAGAACCATTTGTTCCTGTTCTTGCTGCCATGGGTGATGACATTGGGTCCGGAGCTCAGCTGGCGCTCTTCCTCAAAACTCAGCTAATTAAGCAGAAAACGGGCGATGGATGGAAGGCTAACGGGCCATGAACGTCTGCAATGCCTTCTACAGTTTCTTACAATGTCTACCATTAAGTCATGAATATCTTACTGATTTGCTTTGGACTTGTTTCTGGTCTCGGTCGTGAAGTTTCGGAGTTTCTGATTGATCTTGCACCCCCGGATGCAGCACTGGTGTTCAGAGTGCGTGATCACAGGTATGGTTTAGCTTAGTGGATTTCGGGGTGCAAGCAGTCAGTTTGCGAGTTGTCTGTGCAAGCTCTTTGGATTTGTGATCGCGTGAAGCCGAGTCTAAACGGGTATAGTATTCAGATTTACTCGCGTGCTGTATTGAAGATCGAATCAGATCCAAGTTGTCAACGGTTTAGTTCTGAGGGTGCGAGTTCGGCCTGCTCGTGCTCTCTAGTTTCTGTCATCGCAGCTTCAACATCGTGTCCCTCTACATATATTTCATACAGTAGCTCGGGCATCAAACACTTAGCGACGGATCTGGGCATCTAGCTGTGGTAGTGTCGCCAGAAAGCCTAAGTTGATGCTTTGTTTGGCTGCTGCACCTGCTGCGGCTCAGAGTGCGCCCTTAAATCTTTGTGTTCAGCTTTGCCAGAGAGGTGCGGGGCATCAGCGTCGCGATCGACAATGGTATTGCGCGTGTCGCCTTTGCTCCGCAGAGTAGCAGCGCCATTGCTAGCTACATACGGGCACAGTATGCTCGTCTCAAGCAAGAGACAGGTGGATTGCCAGCCACTTTCACAGAACGGAATCTGCGCAGCAGTCCAGACGGCAAGCAGCGCCGTTCAAGGCCTTGCTGCCCTTGAACAGCTCTGTGAAAAGTGTCGCACAGCCCGAGACAAACTTGGCGAAGATCCGTGCTCCTCGATGAGTGCATCCGTGCTGAAGGGGAGTGTCGAAGGTGGGAGAGTGCGGTTCAAGAGGATGGAGATGGAGCTGCAGGAAATTAGTGACAGCATCAAGGCTGCGATCGAAGCTACAGGAGATGATCCGGACAGACACCAAGTCTTGGGGCTGACCTTGCGCACCGTGAACAACAACCTCAAGACGCTGCGCACGTTGAAAGTAGGCAACCTCAATTTTGATCCAAAGATCGTGGAAGCAGGGCTGCTCCAACATGATGGGTTCTTCAACTAGATGGCGCAAAAGCTGGAGATGAGCTTCAAGGCTAGGGGACACAACAGCCGGGATGCGCTGCAGCTGACGGTCTACAACCCAGGCCAGGACACGGTGACCCTGCGCCTTCCAGCAGCGGGCGCAATGTTTGAGCCATCTGGCTCAAAGAAGTGTCAGAATTTGGTCCTGCGGGAAGCAACCTCGATGGACGTAAAGCCAGGGCAGCGCAAAACGATCGGTTTGTGGGCTTTCTGTGCGAACAGTGGCAGGAGTTCTCCATACACGGACCTGGAACCGACTGACTACGTCCTCAAGTGCGACCTGAAAGACCAGGCGTCTGTCTGGGAAGCGACCAGAATGTATGAGAGGTAATGAGCTGCCCTTTGTCTCTCATTGACTCTTCCAGCTTGACAGTTGCATGGAAAGCGCGTCTTTGCCAATTGTGTAGCACCTGGCAAGTCAGGGCTCTGGGCAGGATCTTTGCTGCATCAAGTCGTTCTAAGACATACACCAGCCTAGCCAGGCATCTCCCCCAGAGGAAGAGAGGAAGAAGTGTTTTTTGACGAGGGGCTGTACGTTGATGAGGTGTTCAGGTTTGCTGAGGCTTCATCCCCTGTCTAGTGAGCTGTCAAGATGGCCTACTCTCAGACTCTTCTACAGGGAAGGCCACAGTAAAACTTTCACCAGACCTCTTCCCCGGCAGGTGGTGTGGTTGCAACCGTTCCCTCCTGCTTTTCTTGAGGCTTCAAGTTGTCAGCCCTTGAAAGAATTGTTGTTGATCAGTTCATGTCCACGTTCGGCGATCTTCTCTGTCCTGTATGTCTACTTTCACGTCTTCCCCACAAGTAGGTTGTTATATCGTTACACCAAGTTTGTGAACTGTGCGCTCTCGGGTATGTAGCTCTTCTAGACTAGTGGTCGTGTAGTTGACAGAAGAAGAGCCGTGCCTGTAGTGGATAGTGTCACGACTATGCCTGACTATGCAACTCACTCCAAGGCATGAGTGCGGATTCGCCATGCTTCGCCTCCTGAAGCCGCCTGAGTGGGGACCTTGAGTGGACTCTTTGCAGGGTTTCGGTGGCAGCAGGTCTGGGCTTGGGGTGAGGGGCGGTAGAGACCATGACAATAGAGCAGCAACAAGGAAAGCACTATTTTGGATGAGAATGGCAGTCGCGAGAGACACGCTGCTGTGCCGTTTGTGCTGCCTTTCCACCTACAAGTTTAGTCAAACTTCACGTGACACCGCCGAAGGTAGCATGATTCCAGGTTTTTGCTTGAACCAAGACTCGTCAATGTGCATGGAAGCCTTGTGACAATTTGAAGGCCCGTCACTATCACTATAGTCTTTGTCATTAGATGGTGGTGATGGTGACGGCGGGGATGAGGACTCGGATGTGAGTGTAAGACTGATGACGTGTCTTCGTCGGGGTTTCGCCATTCTGAGACTCATTGTCCGACTACTCCGATTCGCGCGGGCCTGCCGCCTGCAGGTACTATTTTGAGAAGTATGGAACGCACTTCTTTGGCGCAGAGCTGAGCGTAAGATTTGTCAAGGCTGTGTGATTGACGCACACAGACAGACACTGACCCAGACCCAGACCCAGACCCAGACCCAGACCCAGACCCAGACCCAGACACAGACACAGACACAGACACAGACACAAACAGACACAGACACAGAGACACAGAGACACACACACACACACACGTGCGTACATATCACAGGCGATGTGCACGCAGATGATTTGACTTGTATGTCATTGGGTATACCGACAAGTGTACGGATACATGAGCATCTGAATATATGAATACATGAGTATGTCTACATATGCAAAGTGTATGTGTGTATATATATATATACACACATCAGCCATACATCAACACATCCGTCTATAGGTCTAAATAAACAAATAAATAAACGAATAGATAAACAAATGAATAAGTATATATGTACATATAAAAATACAAATCTTGAAAGCAGTAGACCATATCAACAAACAGCTACGCATTTGTAAGTCCAAAAATAGAAAAACCTAGGAACATAAAACCATATGGGCATACAAGTTTGGACGACATACACTCACAGACATGTGTATGCATATAAGCATATAGGCAAAGGCCTGTCTGAAGAACATATGACCGCAATATATGCATACACAGAATAAGCACATGCATGTAAACTTAAACGCTACATGAATCTGTGTGTGTATAGATGTAAATGCATGCTACATACATATCCACACGCGAATGTCCGTGCACTCATGCATTCCTTCGATCATGCACACATACACACATCACGCACACACATGCACACGCCTCCCTCCTAGCTAGCTAGCTACCCAGATACCTAGCTATACACGCATACATACATACATACATACATACATACTTACATACTTACATACTTACATACTTACATACTTACATACTTACATACTTACATACTTACATACTTACATGCATGCATGCATGCATACATACATACATACATACATACATACATACCTTCCTTCCTTTCTTCCTTCCTTAGTCCTTCCTTCATTAATTCATTCATTCTTCCGTGCATTCGTCATCCCACACAGATACATGTGAACACGCTCATATGCATTGCTGATTGCGGATTTTCAGGCCTCAACCGCATGCACTTGCTCATGGAGAAGCAGCGAAATCGTGGCCTTGCTGCAGGGATGCAATAGGGCTTCCATGCTGTTTAGGATCTCTTGTTGCTTCCCGAGTCATGGAATTCTTGTGATTCTGGTGGCAGTACGAAGCTCAGGGTTCAATGTTCAAGATGCAATCTTGTACTCGGAACCTGAGCCCAAAACCGCAGACGCTCGGTTCTGCGGCTCTACGGCAAACCTTGGCCAAACTTAAAACCGGGAACATTGCACCGAGAGGGAATTGAGTGCTGCAGTTGTTACTACTGTTGCATGCTTCATTCCTTATGCTTGCGCCCGGTTGGCACCGTTCTTATCGTTTTCGGGGAGTAAACCCATTACGAGTTGTCACTGCTACTGTAGCTGCAGCTCTCATAGCCGGTCTTTAGGTTCATTCCGCGCTGTCCTGGCGTGTAAAACGGCTAATGGTTCCTTGCAAGACCAACTCGAATCAAGACGCTTGCCGAGCGAAGCTTTGTACTGCGTCTAGCATCAACACATACACAATCACGGTTCACCTAGTTCTCGTCGCTCTAACCATGAGCATGCTGTTGTTAATAAACACGAAGCTCAGTATCCTGGACATGTCAGTCTCGCCGAAGCCATGCACCAAGTACTCGACCACAAACATCTGCAGCACACATTTTGACGCTACTCATTCACACGGTCTAGTCTAGCTGGTCTTGTGCATGTCTCCGACAGGTGGCCAGGACGGAGCTGGTGTGGCAAATGTCAAGTTGGACATGCCTCCAGGAACCAGGCACGCACCCTATGTTGTGTGTCATTCCACGCAATCCTGCGCTGACTTTGAGATCGTCATATTCGTCAAAATAGTCCATCCTTTCTGGATGTATCGTCTTGGCCAAGCCATGCGTCCACTACACCAGACGTGCAGCTGTCGGCATGGACTCTTCGAGCTGTGGGAGCTAGCTGCCTTTGCCCAACGAAGTTCCACAGTTCTTGCAGATGAACTCGACCCTTTCCTCGCACCCGATGTCTTGCCAGAAATTTCAGTCCAGCATTTGCTTGGCCAACTCGAGGTATATCCACTGCGAGAAGTCCATCGCCGCAGACCCCATTGGAGACCTCTTCGGGCGTGTGGAGAAGCAGGCGCAACTTTCGGGTGTCGATTGGGCCTGGGGTGGGGCTTGGTGACGTTGAGATACTCAGCCACAGCCGTAGGCACAGCCACAGCCACGACCACAGCAGCAGCAGCAGCAGCAGCAGCAGCAGCAGCGCCAGCGCCAGCGCCGGTGCTGGTGCTGGCACCAGCAGCAACAAAAGCAGCAGCAACAACAACACCAACCACCACAACGACGGCGACGACAACATCTCAATCGCCAACGACTTCAACCAATGCCAGCACCAAGACAAATGCCTGCTGCTGCCGCTACCGCTGCTGCTGATATCGTTACGTCGTTGCTGCTAGTGGTGCCGGCTGCCTACTGCTACGTCTGCCACTGCTACTGCTACGTCTGCACTGCTACTGCTACTGCTACTGCTGCTGCTGCTGCTGCTGCTGCTGCTGCTCCTGCTGCTACTACTACTACTACTGCTGTCACTACTGATAGTACTAGAACTAGTGCTCGTTCTAGTGCAAGAGCTAGTGCTAGTGCTGGTGCTTCAGTTACCCAGCTGCACCAGCGACGCGGCCAGGCAACAGCAATGCTGCAGAAAGCGCCGACTGATGCGCTTGGGTCTCGGGAATGGATCGAAGCGAAAGCTTCCTAGAGACCCATCATCTACTTTTTCATCTTACAGAGCCGCGGAGAAAACGGCCCCGACAACAATCACCGGTGTGTAGGGGCGAGGCTTGAATGCTGCGAATTCGTATTTTTAGGCCTAAGAGCCCATAGTACCTGCACAGGTCAAGGTGTTGAACACATGGCGTGGGAGTGCGTTTGCGAACGACATGAAGATGTTTGCAGATGTTTAGAGAAGACGGAGTCCTTGGGCAGCTTCGTTTGCTCCATACCCGCATGCACCTGCCCCCTCCATCTGCCTCCCCACTAAGCAATGGAAGCCTTACCGGCTGAGCAAGAGAATTCAGTCCCAGAATCATATACCGCATTGGACAAAGAAGCAGCTCCGAGCAACCATTTGAAGGTAGTGTGTATTATGTATCTACATATGACATATACAGACACATATGTCTAACATATATACATATAAGCTATATCTGTGTAGTTGTATCTGTATATATACATATACATGTATATATATATATATATAGATAGATAGATAGATAGACAGATAGATAGATAGATGTATCTATCTATCTATCTATCCATCTATCTGTATTGGATCAGAAGCAGCTCCTGTCTCAGAAAGATGAGGCGCATTCCCAGCGGCCCCAACGGCAAGGAGCAGGTCGACCCAAGGCGCTTCGGCTCAGAGCCACCCGCTATGGGAGTTTCCGTAAATAAGGGGTATCATATTTTGGGGTCCCTATAATAAGGATAGCGTACGTTTCCGTAAATAAGGGGTATCTTATTTTGGGGTCCTTCGAATAAGGATCCACTGTTTAGGGTCCTATACTAGGAGTTTCTAACAATTAGGATACCTTATTTTGGGGTCCCTATAATAAGGATCCTATTATTTACTGTCCTATATTAGGGTCCCCTGTTTTCGGAAGCCACCGGTATGGAGCATCGCTACATCTGAAACGAAGAGTGCTTGACATTGGTGCGTATCTATATCTAACGTATACTTGCATCTATGTGTATCCATTGTGGCAAAGCAAACCCTCCCCCCAATATTCCACACAAAGTTCCAGCTAGGTGCTGGAATCGTTCCACATGTCCGCAGGGGCTGACGGGGCAGACTGAAGGAGTGGGGGCTTCGGGATCTTCCCGGGGTGTTTAGACTGGGCGTAGGTTTCCGGTACTTTTTTTGGTGGCGTTTCCACATCTTGGTGACAGATAGAGTCGGGCCGGACCGCCTTCTACAGGAATATATGCCCGGGTCCTGCGTACAGATGCAGCTATCCCCCGGCGAGAGGAGTCCGGAACCTTAAGATCCCCCCCAAAGGTGCCCCGGTGAGCCAGGTGGGTCAAGGACAACATCCCTTTCTGCGGCGAAGCCTACCTGGCCCATGTCCGCTATGGCACCGACTCCGAGAACAGCCTCGACAGGCCGGACTTGAAGAGCCGGAGCTTTTTTCGATTTTTGGAAAATAAGGGGTACCCTCTTTTGGGGTCCTAATAATAAGGATCCTACGATTTAAGGTGCTATATGAGGGTCCCCTATTTTGGGAACCCCCCCATTTTTCTCAGGGAATCTTAGGGTCACCCACTACACAAGCTTTTAAGCAAGAAGTGGGGGGCCTTCTGCGTAACAGAGGTTTCCGGGACATTCCGTGGACTACCAGACAGAGCGTGAGGTGACTCCAAGCCCATCTGCCTCTAAGGTGCCACCCGGTCACGCGCGAGAGCAACTGGATGACCCGAACTTTGGCAGCACGGGGTGTGTGGGCTTTATGAGGTGGAAGCAGATCCGCAATCTGCCGAGGAAACCTTATCCTTGCCGGAAATTTCAACATCACGAACAACGAGGACGGACCCAGCTCGGTTTGTTGGAGGAAGGCGGGTCTGCCGATGACGGGAAGAACGGTGCTGGTGCTGAGGACCTTCTTCACGGCATTGGTGTATGACGATGATGATGATCACGCCGACAGTGATGACAGCTGGCGGTTTTGAGGATGGTCGCCGAGATGAGAGGTGTGATGAATAGTTGCAGTAGAGAAAGGCAATCAACATGAGCACAGAGTGGCTAGGAGACGGAGACTCATGATGATCCAGAGTAGAAGAAGGTTCTGAATGATGAAGGCCATTCAGATGAGGAGGGCTCTCCCGAAGAGAATGGTGATGATTTCGGCGATAAGAACCGAAGTCATGATAGTGGATGATGATGGTCGTCGTGATCGTTTGGTGACGAACCGTCGTGGCCAACGATGGCCGAATGATGGCAGCGTGTATTCAGTCTGCTTTTCTTTTGCATGGACCCGAACTCCCCCGACCCTCAAACCCTAAACCCTAGACCCTAAAAAAAAGCCTGAAACTCTAAACCCTACACCGTAGCCACTGCTTAAGCCTCGAAGACGCGAAGTCCAAAATCTCAGAGGACCTCTTCGGGAGCCTCGTCCAGCTCGGTCAGCACCCCCGCGAGCTCTCCGACACCGCCGCATCCCTGTCGGTTCTGAAAAGGAGGACGGGTTTTAGGGTTTAGAGTTTAGGGTTTAGGGAGGACGATGGCCTTTAAGAGGTGGAACAATGACATTTCTCTCAAAAGGTAAGATCAGCAGCAGCAGCAGCAGCAGCAGCCGCAGCCGCAGCAGCAGCAGGGCAAAGCAACTAGTGACAGGGACAGTAGGACGATTCTTGGCCCACCCACTGGCAGCCTACAGAGAGCCACTGAAGCCCTCTCACCTCTCAGTCTCAGCCCTTTTTGTCACAGAGCGACCCCCGAGCCCCCGCCATCGACGTCGCATTCAGTTCCGCCGAGGTTATGCTGCTGGAGAAGATCGGCCACTTCGTGGACAAGGAATGCCTCTGACTTGGCGGTTACAGCTTGGTAAGTCACTTACGGAAAGGTCTACTTCTTGATTTTCCGAGGTGATGCTTTTGGACTTGCAGGTGCCAAACTCCCTGAGACGTTAGTGATGGAAGTTGCAGGACTTGCAAAGCAAGACGGCTCCTTGAGGCTCTCTCGTGTGCCTTAAAAAGTAGAACTCCCTGACGACCCGAAGATGCCATGGTTTCCACCACTGCCATGGAGAGCCCAAAACCCTAAACTCTACACCCTAAACCCTAAACCCTAAGCCCCAAGCAGGAGAACAATGACCTCTACGTGAAATACTCGGCGGCCGGTCACAGCCCGCAGACCTGCTTCAGCGCGCTCCCCAGAGAATTTCCCATGGAGGGTTGGGGTTTGCAGGGTTTAGGTTTAGGCTTTAGGGTTTAGGATTTCGGGTTTGGGGTTTAGAGTTTAGGGTTTAGGGTTTAGGTTGTAGACTTTAAACCCTACGAAAGAGCCGAGTGTAGTGGGGTGGGAAATGGATGCATTCAGTGCATGATCTAGTCAGGAGGGTGCTCAAGATCGGGATACCCCGGGCCCCCCCCCCCCTCCCCCCGCCGCCCGAAAAACTGTAAAGCGCAACCTTCGATAAGCCCTTGAAGACCCAAACCTGCTAATGTGGGAACCTGATTAAGAGACCCTGGCCCCATAACCCCAATATATGAGGATTCATATTAAGAACCCTAAGAGAGACCCAGGGTTTCTTAATCTCACAGAGCATCCAGCCGGGAGAACCCAGGCCTCATTGCCGAGAACATCAACATTGCACGGATCCTGCGCCGGGTGCAGGGGCCCAGCGAAAATTCTGCCGTTTCGGAGCCCGCAAGGTTGACCTCTTTCGCCTTTCGGTGGTGTAGTTTTTTGAAAGTTTTTTGGGTCGGGAGCACCGCGAAACACACGGTTTCCACCTCGGTGGGAATTGCTTGTGGTTTGGGATGCTGACAAGTCTGACCCCCTTCGTGTTGCGCGATGTGTTTTCAATCTCGCGCAGGAGTTTTTCTGCTGCGCCGCTAAAAGGTTTGACCCCATGGTATTGCAGTTTGGACGGGCGTCGCCGCGACAGCACCTCTGTGATTTTCGATCTGGGTAGGAGTTGGTCTGTGGTGCGAGACGCTGAAACGTGTGATCCCTGTCGCCTAGCATGCAGTTTGTCTGCTTAGGGATGCTGAAAAGTTCGACACCTTCGTATTGCAGATGCTAAGAAGTCTGAACCCTTTCGTGCTGCAGCTTGGGCCGACAAGGCCGCGACAGCAGCCATGTCATGTCGATCTTTGTCGTTGGAGATGCTGTAAAGTTTCATCCCTTTCCTGTCGAGACAGCCCATTTGGCTCGATCTTGGCGGGAGTTTGTTTGTGGTTTGGGACGCTGAAAGTTTGAGCCCTTTCGTGTTGCGGTGTGGGTCCGGAGCGCCACGACAGCGCCCGACTTGTTTTCGATCTCGCTAGGAGCTTGTTTATGGCTTGGGACGCTGACGAGCTTGATCCTTTTCGTGTTGCATGGGAGTTTGTTTGTGCTGAAAGCTTGACCTGCTGATGTGAATTGCAGACTGAAGGCAATACTGTAGCGAGGAGAACAAAGGTCATCATGATGATCATGTCACCGCTGTAGACTGTATAGAATCGCAACAATGACGAAGTCGCAATTGTAACAGCAACGATGAAGGCGTTAGATTGCAAAAACCTGGTAGCAGTGACGCTGACAACAGCTTCAAACACGGGGAAAGAGCAGGAAGACTTGCAGTTGTTGTCTGTAAGGTCATAACCCGGCGCCTGCTTCGAACTCAAGTGAGCAAGCAAAAACAAATGCCATGCTTGAGGCCTCTGGGCTGTGGGATGGTGGCTACTGCATTGCCGGACTGCTTGGCCACGGCGATGCCTTCGTGATGCAAGGGGCCCAGAAGGGGCATGATAGGAGAGCTAGAATTTGAGCTTTCGGGGCCGTGGGGTTGCGGTGACGTGTAGTTCGGGAATGTGGGTTTGTCCAGGGTGCTTGCGTTGTTCAGAATACTTAGGAAATTGATCCGGTATCTCTGTGCTCAACAGTGATAGATAGTAGCAAGAATAGTAAACATAGTCGCAGTAGCAGTAGCAGTAGCAGTAGCAGGAGCAGTAGAAGTAGCAGTAGCAGTAGCAGTAGCAGTAGTAGCAGTAGTAGCAGTAGTAGCAGTAGTAGTAGTAGTAGTAGTAGTAGTAGCAGTAGTAGTAGTGGTAGGAGTAGTGGCAGTAGCAGCAGTAGCAGCAGCAACGTAGAACAGTCAAGTAACAGTCATACTAGCAACAGTATCAGTCGATTCCTTGTGACCCGGTCTCGCCTTCCGCAGCTCGGAGCATTTGAGTCATCTGAGGGTTTCCGAAAATAGGGGACCCTAATTATGCACCCTAAATAGTAGGGTCCTTATCAGAAGCACGCCAAAATAAGGTACCCCTAATTTTCGGAAAGTCCCATCTGAGGCGTGACCCCAGTGGAATCCGCCCAGCCTTCTACTATGCCGATGACGCCACCTGCCCGCCGCAGTTTTGCCGTTGAGTCATTGAACATGGCTGGTGCTTCGGTCTAGGATTTCGTGGGTTTCTGACAGAGTGTTGGCTCAAGACACGGTTCTTACGGTTGTGCTGATTTGCTTGGTGGGTTAGGTTTCGGTGCCGGGATCTTGGCATTTAGACTTGCAGAGTGTGCCTTTCACATCGCTTGCCAAGACGGGGAAGGGCATGATTGGTGTTGGCTCAACGGCATCACATCTCCGAAGCGACAGTCCCTCTCCCGCCCACCATCCGACACGAACTACAGCCGCCAAAAATGCCAAACGCACTGCCCAGGACTTCATCACGGTTTGCTCGGAAGCGCCACTGATCCAGACAGTCTTCGGTGTGCAGGAGGCTGCGACGCATACTGTGAATCGGTATACATGGTTTGTGCATGCGCGTGTGCATGCGCAGAGTCTGTGCGCAGGTTTGCATGCCTGCGAAGATGGATAAAGTATCTGTGCATGCATGCGTGCTGCAGGCTTGAATGGATGTATGCATATCTATATATGTATACATATATATATGTATACACATATAAAATATGTGTGTCTGTCTGTCTACCTATCCACCTATTCATCTATCCACCTATCCACCTATCCACCTATTCACCTATCCACCTATCCACCTATCTACCTATCTACCAATCTACCAACCTACCTTATCTACCTATCTACCCACCTACTTACCTACCTACCTACCTACCTGCCTGCCTGCCTACCTACCTACCTACCTACCGACCGACCGACCGACCAACCGACC